GTATGGGTTCGTATAGATGGAAATTTTAGAATGGGTTTTTTTTCTAAATATAACTACAAAAAATATATTTTATTATATATTTACGCATTTTTACGTAAATGGATATAATACAATGATAAGCAAGTTGAAAAATTAAAAGCAAGATTATCAAAGTTTATTATAGTTTAGAATTTCTTCAATATGTTACCGACGGTTTCAATATATAATTATTCTTTAACAACGTATCAATTTAATAAGTATTATGTTTCTCTTGATTGTAGCATGATAAATTACCAGAATTATGTCGACGAAGATAATAAAAATATCACGTAATAAAATACTATCAAAAAAGTATTTATCAAATTATTACACAATTTAAAATTTCAATAAAATATTTTAACATATTTGAAATAGCTGAATCAGTCGATAAGTTAAATTACGATAATTCGTGCCTTACCAATTTTGGATTAATTAATTTATTTAATTTGTATAAATATGTAAATATTTTTTACGTAATATAAAAATTTTAATCCGATGAAGTAAAATCCTATAAAAAGAATGGACACCTCATTATTTGATCACCGAACGCGCCCATATTTCGCACGTGTGACACGTAACGAAAGCGACGCGACAGTGCCACTCTTGTCTTCCATTTGCAGCACATTCGAAACGAGAAATCTGGTTACTTTATAAACTCGTTACGTATTGGCTGAGACAAGTGCGAGTCGACGCTTGGTTAAGCAACATCGAGGTAATTCGTCGATATGTTTTCCCAAACCGGATGATCTTCGTATAAACTCTTATTTTAAGCCATATCATTCTCGTTTCGTACGGTTTTTAGCACGTAACCTGTATTTTAAATCAATTAGGATGCTTAAAGTAACAGCCCTGATACATAATCGAGAAGTTTTGTTCGATCCTTGAATGGTATGTGAAATATTCTTTCCAATCGTAAAAATTACCGTCGCTTTTGGCAGTTGATCACTTAACCTAACCTATATTTATCGCGGCTTAGAACTAACGTTAGACTGGTAAGTGTAAAACTAATAAGATTTCTAAGAAACTAAGAATAACATTAGGCTTAACCTTAAGTCTGCGTATCTAAATTTAATTATCACGAATAATCTTATTTGATGATTTCTATGAAAATTATTATCCGATTATATATATAAATGTTTAATTCATGTTAACTGCATATTCTATTAATTTCTAATATAATATTCAAATACGGTTTACTTATTAAAATATTTCCTTGTTTACAATGAGGGAATATTATAATTAATAGATTAATGATATTAATATAATAACCTATAATAATTATTTTATGATGAAATATTATAATTACATTGATATATAATATAGATATTATTATAAATTCAATAACAGTTTTCTCACATTGAATTTGTTTTTAATATATAATATACGATATTAGATCAATCAGTTAATCTTATATTAATTATATCATGATACTTCTAACGTTTCAATCTTCGTTTATTAATTATTAAATAGCAATTAATGTTAAAAATAGCCGATCATAATAATGCCAATTATAAAACGATGGAAATTAATTACATTAACGACACACAATACAATAATCAACAGCAATCATTTCATTTCCAACTATAGTTATTGAAAAACAAAATAAAAATCCTTTAATCTATTTTTATCTTTTACCATCGAAATATCGATTCATTCGAGTAACTTTTATTCGCTTTTATTTCACGACTCGAAGAAAATAAATTCATTTAACGGACAAGAGACTCGAGCGCAAGCTCGATAATAAATTTATCAGCGGTTCTCGGTGAAAGGACGAGTAGCTTTAATTCCGAGGAAAATTGAACATTGACCGTGTCTCGTTATACCATTCGATATCTCGCGAGTGAAAAGAGGGTAAAGCGAGATAAAATAGAGAAGGAAATGACAAAAATAACACTCGGATTGATGTAATTACCGGGCGTGGCAGGGATTAATTTGCATTTCGATGCAATTACGATTCATAATCCCGTTTTCGTCGATGTCTGTGAAACTCGTCGGGGCGTTATTGTTATAAACGGCGCGCGTTTCCGACTCGTCGTGTCTCGCGTATCGAATGTTAATTCGACGACGCGCATTCCGGGGCCGTCCATGTCTTTTATCGTTGTTTTATGACGTTGGTGGACGTAAGCGCGACGCAACCGGCGTCGTTTTCCTTTTCGTTTTAATTGAATTATTCAGGATCGATCG